ATACCCTGGGGTGAACCCCCGCCTCGGAAGGCCGACTAACATCTATTGCCCACTGGGGATTGCACTTGGAATCGTAGAGGACAGGGGCGTCGAGGAGAAAGAGAAAAGGAGGAAGAGAGGCGGTGAGAAGGCAATAATCACTGTCCCAGGAAGGAACAGGAGGAGTCCTTGCGGTCGAAGGGGTGGGGGGGCAACAATCAGTTATGTGCTGCGGCTTGGTGCGATGCTGAAGATACCGCTCCGCTGAATGTGCCCCAAAGGAGAATTCAATTTCGGTTCGTCGCTAACGAAAAGCCCGGGAGGGGTCCTTAATTGCTGCCTAGGACTGTGCATGCAAACTGAATTCGTTGTGCGCATGCGAAGCTCAATACGTTCAGGGCGGCCCTGACGAACAAGAACGTCGACCTCGACCTCCGCGTCTAGCTGTTTGATAGCGATGTTCACCCCAACGACCCTGTACGATTTGTCGACAGCGCCACTGACAGCGTGAGATATTGAGAGCCTTGCAAGTACACAGCGTCTCAAAGTACGCTGCATGATGGAATCAGTCAAACACGGTACAAATGATCCATCGGACATGTAAAGAACATTGAAGACAAAACCATGCAACAATCATTAGCTTGCAAACGCACTCGCTAACAGCATTCGCTTGCAGGCTAAGGTGTTCCGTGATGCAAGGCTGCCTGTCCAGCCGAAGCGTTCCAGAGGCAGGCCGCGAACTTCGTGGGCTAGATTGGCAGTTTTAGAGGAACAAAAAATGGCATAAACATAGAACTCTGAGTTCCCTGGCGCGTGGAGCGCGCCAGGGGCGGCGCCGGAGGCGCCGCTGGGGGGCCCCAGCGCCGATCCGAGATCCGCGCGGACCTCCGAGTCCCACCAGCCCTCTGGGCGTAGGTGGTCTAGAGCAGATCCTCTTCCACCCCTCCCTCTTCCCCCTTGGGGAGGGGTTTACCCCTCCCCCTACCCCCTCCCCTGGACCTGGACGGGGGGGGCCGCGGGTAGTTAGAGCGTCCAAGATGGCCCAAGACGGCTCCAAGAGCGCCTCAGAGAACCCAAGATGAGCTCCAAGATGGCTCAAGATAGCGCAAGATCGCTCACGATGGCTCCTAAGATGGTTCCAAGAAGCCCAAAGACGGCCCCAAGATAACTCCAAGTGGCCAAACAGCTCCCCAAGGAGGCCCCGAAGAGGCCAAAATCGTCCCAAAACCTAAGGAAAATCAATGATTTTTGCTTTCTCGCCTTTTCGCTTCCGATGGCCATCCGAGGCCTGGAGATGGCTCCAAGATGGCCCAAGAGGGCCCCAAGAGAGCCCCAAAAGAGCCCCAAGACGGCCCCAAGAGCGCCCAAGAGCACTCCAAGAGCGTTCCAAGAGGGGTCCAAGAGGCGATTTTAGGGGCTTCCGAGGGGGGACGCTAATTAAACCCCCCCTCTTGTTTGATCGACTCCCTCCAAGATGGCCCCAAAAGCGCCCCGAAGGCTCCCCAGAGCGCCTCAAGAGGGTCCCAAGAGGCGCCCAAGATGCCCCAAGGCGCCCAAAAAGCCCTCCAAGAGGCCCTCAAAAGACCCCCAAGAAGCTCCTTCCCCTCCTCCTCCTCCTCCTCCGATTCTTCCTCCTTCTCCGTCCTCCTCCTCCTCCTCCTCCTCCCCCTCTTCCCCCTCCTCCTCCTCCTCCGACGACGACGACGACGACGACGACTCCTCTTCCATCCTCCCCCTCTCGGGGTCTGTGACAGCTTCCCCCGCCCTTTGTTATTCTGCATGCTCCCCGACTTCCCTGATCACCTCAACTCCCCTGAGCATCGTTTCTGGATGGGCTGGTGGGGATACGCGAAGCGTCAACAATTTCTATGTTTATGCCACTTTTTGTTCCCCTAAGTTCGCCTCCCCTCCCCACCCCTCCCCCTCCCCGCCCTTCCTCCCACCCCTCCCCTCTTTGGACCGGGAGCGGCCAAGAGGGGGGTGTCTAAGAGGGGGAGATGCAAATCATGGCCGGCGGCATGTGCGCGGCCCAGCGGGGGGGCCAGGGACGCAATGAAACAAGAAGAGGCGCCGTGAAATCTGGGGAGATATCATGGCCCCCGCCATGATATCCCCCCCCCTAGTCATCAACCCCCTCTTTGCCGCCCCCACCCCTCCCCCTCCCCGCCCGATCCGAAAAATCCGCGCGGACCTCCGAGTTGTTATGTTTATGCCACTTTTTGCTCCCTTAAGTTCGACTCCCCTCCCCACCCCTCCCACCCCCCGCCCTTCCTTTAAGTCGGGCCTGTCCCCCTACAGGGGAATTCTCAACGAAACATAAGAAGTACCCAACACATACTCAAAAGATGCCCAAGAGTGGTCACAAAATAGTCCCCAGACTTTGTTTTGACTATTCTTGAATTTCCCCCCTGTAGAGGGACAGGCCCGACTTAGCCCGTCCTTTCAGTCGGGCGTGTCCCCCTACAGGGGGATTTCCGACGAAAAATAAATAATACCCGAAACATAATCCAAAAATAGTCCAAAAATAGACTGGGAACTATTTGTTGAATCTATTTGGACCTTTTTAGGGTATTTCCCTACCTAGGCTCTGCCTAGAGGGTTCTTACTCTCTTAGCTTAAAGGGGCCGGGCAATGTAAATCGCCCCGGGCGGTTCCCCCAGTCCCCGCCCCGCGGTTCCCCCAGTTGCGCCCCCTGGGTTCACCCAGCTTAGCTTAGCTTCAGCTTAGCTTTAGCTTAGCTTGAGTTTAGCTTTAGCTTAGTTTTAGCTTAGTTTTAGTTTAGCTTTAGCTTAGCTTTAGCTTAGCTTTAGCTTGGTTTCAGCTTAGCTTTAACTTAGCTTTAGCTTAGCTTCAGCTTAGCCTGCTTAGCTCTAGCTTAGCTTTGCTTAGCTCCAGCTTAGCTTCAGCTTAGCTCTAGCTTAGCTTTAGCTTAGATCCAGCTGAGCTTCAGCTTAGCTTCAGTTTAGCTCTAGCTTAGCGTTAGCTTAGCTTCAGCTTAGCTCTAGCTTAGCTCTAGCTTAGCTGTAGCTTAGCTCTAGCTTAGCTCTAGCTTAGCTTCAGCTTAGCTTCAGCTTAGCTCTAGCTTAGCGTTAGCTTAGCTTCAGCTTAGCTCTAGCATAGCTTTAGCTTAGCTTTAGCTTAGCCTTAGCTTAGCCTTAGCTCAGCTTTAGCTCAGCTTTAGCTTAGCTTTAGCTTAGCTTTTTCTTAGCTTTAGCTTAGCTTTACTGTTACTACTAATGCTGCTTTCATAGGGGCTCCAACTCCTAGGTAGGGTCGCACTGGGATAATTTTAAATATTTTTCATCTTTCCTGGAAAATCCCCCTGTAGGGGGACCGGCTCGACTTAGCCCTTCCTCCCACCCCTCCCCTCGTCTGGAGCAGCGCGCCGCCGAGCCGGGAGCGCCCCCGGGCACCGAAGCGCGCCAGAGGTCCGCCCGCGCGGGCCTCTCCTCGGCCGCTCCCCTGTGTGTGCTTCCGCCCCTCCCACGCTCTCGTCGCAGCGCCTCTCGCCTTTGCCCGTCGTGCGTTCCTCTCTCTCTCTCTCTTTCCCTATCTCTCTCTCTCTCTCTCTTTGGACGCCCGAAGTGGGTACGGAAAGAATGGGTACAATGCCCAACAGCAGCTCCTGCTCATTTTGAACAGGACTCGCTGTCGGTGTCGCCGCGGCCTGTGTCCATTTGAGACAGAAGGCCGCCTGCCCAACAGCGGCCGCTGTTGGTCTGGGACAACATGTGTTGTTGGGCAGCGTACCACTGTCGGGCGTCCAAACTCCCTCTTTCTCTCTCCCTCTCGCCCTCCTTTCGTGCGTTATCACTTTGTCATGTTTGGATGCGCAGCCAATGCAGCAGCAGCAGCAGCAATTGTTCCATTCGAACCATTGCTATACTCTGCGTCTGGTACCGGACTGGACTTCGTGCTCGTACGGGACCTTGACAGTGAGAAGAAAGAAGACCCCTAACTAGGGTCGCACGGTGTTCATTTGCTGCTCACTCTCGATGGCCGGCAGGGACCCGCCAGGCCACCCCTAACTGCGTCAGAGCAGCTGGCAATGGCGACAGCCTGCCGAGAGCCAGCTGCGTATGCCCCTCCTCCCTGACCCCACCCCGCTCCTCGGAGGAGGGGGCCAAACGTCCCCCCAGGGAGACGTACCCCCATTGGCGCGCCCCCAGGGCCGCCGGAGAGGAGAGGGAGGGAAGGAGGGAGGCTCCCTCCTTCCCTCCCTCTCCTCCCCTCCTCCCTCCTTCCCTCCCTCCCCTCTCCTCCCTCGCTCCCTCCTCCTCCTCTTTCTTCCCTCCCACCCCGCTCCCCCCCTCCCTCCCTCAATCCCCTCTCCTCTCTCGCTCCACTCGCATCCCCTACTTCTCTATCATCCGGCCAGGTGCCGACTGCTCAGCCGTCCCCCAGGGTCACTCGAGGGCCGAGGTATCTCCCTCGCCTGCCCCTGGGTGGGACTGCGATGCTGCTCCTGGCCCGACCTGGGCGTACCAACGCATGCCCCTGTAACGCGATTAACTTGGAATCGAAACCTCACGCACCTCAACGCTGCTGCCGTTCCGGTGTCCCGTCAACTGCGGCCCACGGATCGGCGAGCACCACCCCACCCCCTGGCATTGGTGGGCCTTCCTCATCCCTCATCCTTCGAACCCCCCCTCGCCTTGTAGCCCCTCCCTTCCTCCGCGTCCTCCTCTCCTCCTCCTCGTCCACCTCATACCCTACTCGCTTCGTCCTTCTCCTCATTGTCCTCCTCCTCCTCGACATCCCCATCATCATACAAATGGTTCATTACTCGTCCACATCCTCGCATTGTGGGTTCACCCCGCCCTCGTGCCCCTTCTCGTCCGCATCCTCCTCACCATCCTCGTGCCGCCGCGGGGACGCCAAGGAGGAAGAGGTTGAGCGCGAAGAGCGGACGGATGACGAAGGACAGGACGGGGAAAGGAGAAGGAGGAGGAAGACTCCTCCTCGTGCCCCTGCCGATGTTGCGTGATGTGTTCAGGCTCCCAAGCCCGGGAGCCCCGCGCCTGAGATGTCACCCACGTCCGCCGCCTTCACAAGCGCGGCGTTGATGTGCTTCGCGTTGGTCCTCCCGACGAATGCCCCTCTTGCTTTGTTTTGCCCTGCTCCTGCAACTGCCGCTGCTAGTCCAGCTGCTGCTGCAGGCGATGCCGCTGCTCCCGCCGATGCTGCCGTCCCGTCCTGCTGCCAGCACTGCTCCCCCTCGTGTTTCGGGGGGGGTCCGAGAGGATGGTTTGCAAATCATGGCCTGAGGCATGCGCGAACGGGCAGGGGGGAGGGGACCAAGGGACGTGGTGAAAATCATCTTGGCGAAGGATCCAACCATATCCAATTGTGAGTACCGGCCGTCGTTGAGGGCATCGCCTTCGGGAGATCTCCTCATGGGGCCATGAAGCATGCGCAAGGTGTGCCAATGTGGGGCGGGGCCGCCATGTGGGCGCTGCCAATGGGGCGTTACGTAGAACCCACGTGTGGAGGAGCTCCCTTATTGGGCCACGGAAGGCTGCACTGGGTGGGGGAGTCTGCCAACACCGCCACTGGGGCCTTCGGTGAAGCATGGGACCACGAAGCGCTGTACTGGGTGGAGGAGACGCATCGCCACTGCACTGGGGCCTTCGGTGAAGCTCCCCTTTTCGAAACGCTGTACAAGGTGGGGGAGACGCATGCGACCACTGCCACTGGGGCCTCCGGTAGAGCTCCCTATGGGGCCACGAAGACGTACTGGGTGGGGGGGACGCATGCGGGTACTGCCACGGAGGCCTTCGGTTGAGCTCCCTGTGCGGTCACGAAACGCTGTACCGGTTGAGGGAGGCGCATGTGAACACCGCTCCTGGGTCCTTCCGTAGAGCTACCTATGGTGTTATGAAGCGCTGCATTGGATGGGGGAACACGCATGCAAACACCGCCACTGGGACCTTCGGTGGTGCTCCCTGTGGGGCCACGAAACGCGGTGCTTGGCGGGGGAGGCGGATGCCAACACCGCCACTGGGACCATATGTGGAACTGCCTATGGGGGACAATGGTGAGGCTCAGGATGAGGATGAGGATGATGATGCTGATCATAAAAACGATGATGATGCTGCTGATGATGATGATGATGAGGATGCTGATAATGATGCTGATGCTGCTGCTGTTGCTGATGCTGGTGATGATGCTGATGGTGTTGATGCTAGTGTTGTGATGGGTGCACCCCGCTAAAGACTTACCCAGGAACCCTAAAGGCTCCTAAAAGGCTCTGGAACGGCTCCAGAAGTAAAGTTACAAAAAGGCTTCCCAAAGGCTGTTTTTGAGGTTGCGGAAAAACCAATCCAAGCGAAATTGCGACGGCGCCTCGGTTGGACGCACCGCCGCTGCTGGCAACTGCCGCAGGGAGCGCTGTGCGCAACCGCCTACTACGCTAGGCGAGCGGCTAGCCTAGAGTCAAGAAAGACGCCACCTACACTAACGACGGGGCGCGCGAATGCACATTGGCAATCGCGCGCAAAGACCCGAGCGCGATCTGACGTGCGGGAAGCCAACCGAGCACCCACGGGCCACGCAGATGCGCGCGACCATTCTCAACGAGCGCGGGCGCCCAGCGCCGGGCGTCCTGCGCCCGCGCAGCTCTTGAAACAATGTACAAGCGCGCATGTTTCGCACGTGGCAGACTGCTTACAAGCGAGGCCGTTCGGCTGGCGCGCAGCGCCAAAGCGCGTGAAACGCACCTATGGGCACCCGCACAGCCCGCGCGCCTGCACGCCCAAAGGCGGGCGGGCTTGCACGCTCAAAGCAAACCGACGGCTTGCGCGCCCGAGCGCGGGCCCTGTGCGCGCGAAAGCGCGCGCGCGAGCGAGTTCGGGCGCGCACCCTCCCCCCCCACCCCCCCATGCGCAAACGCTCCAATGCCCCGCGCAAAATGTGCGCGGGCGAAGGGAAACCGCGCGGCCACCTCAACTGCAACACCTCTGCGCGTTGGCGCACCATGCTGAAGAGCACCTGGAACATTCAATCGGCCACAGGCCTAATCGGGCGAGCGCCCACGCGGCTTACTTCGGTCGTCGGATCAAGGCCGCAGCGCAGCCTCTGGCGAGCTCGTCGGGGTCGCGGTGCCGCCCGCGAACCCCATGGCCCCAGAAACTAAACGCCGACTCGGGATCTCGCGCACCTCCGCCCACGTGGGCGCCCACCTCTCTCGAGTTGCACCAGCTACAACAGACGTCGGCCCACCGACGGTGGGCCGCAAGACGCCGCGACGTTCGCATATCACTTGCGGCGCGGTAGCGCGCTCTATCGCGCGCCAGCCGCATTCAAGCCCAAACCGCTGCCCCGCTACCATGCGATCGCAACCGATGAACAATAATAAACTTGAAACGAGCCAGCGGCGCGGAAGAGGAGGGCGAACGGGGGAAGGTCGGAGGGGCGGAGGGCGACAGAACACGATGGAGGCGCTTTAAATCAAAAGTGTTTCAAACGATAAGGGGCGCACCGATCACAACAGCCAGCTAGCGAGGATGAGGGGGAGAAACGCAATGAGGAAAATGAGAAGAATGAGGAGGAAGAGGAGGAAGAGGAGAAGGAGGAAGAGGTGAGGCCCCACACCTCCACGCCGTAATCCTCCATTCCCCTCTTCTCCGCCCCCTCCCCAGCACCAGTCCCATCCTCTTCCACCCTTTCATCCCCCTCCTAGCCCGCGCACACACGCGCGTGCAAACACGCACAGGCCCATGCGCTCAGCGAAAGAAAAGGGTATCTTGGAGACTAACCTGTAGCCTCTTGGAAATTCCGTGAAGGGTTCTTGGGGCCTCTCGGGTGCCTCTTGGGAAGGTTTCGGGCCGTCTTCGGACGCCCGCAATCGGCCATCTTGGGGTCGTAGTGGGGCCGTCTTGGGCCTTAGTGGGTCCATCTTGGGTCGTCGTGGGGCCGTCTTGGCTTGCATTGAACCCACCCTGAGTCGCCTTGACGGCCTCGTGGAACCCAAAGAGGGCCATGGGACGCAAGCGACCCCGCAAGAAGCCCCCAAGAGACCCCGCAAGGGCTGCACCCCGCCCCCCTTCCACTTAGCAGGTGCGCCTGCAATCAAGCGCAGCTCGAGCGCACGATGGTCCCAAGGGGGATCAGGCAAGACGATTCGGCGGCAACGCAATGACAAGGACCAGCGTGCCACAGTTCACCCGCGCCCAGGCTCGACCACCAACTCTCGAATCCTGTTGCGCTGCTGCGCAGCCCAAGGCATCGGGCGAACGGCGCCTTACACTGGCGAGCCCAATCACCCTTTGAACTGCAAAGTCATTGCCTGCTTCACCCTGGTCGCGATCTCTGGGTGGATCTTATAACTGGGAACCTCGTACTTGCGAAGGGTGCTGCCGACCTTGGAGCACGCTGTGCGCATGAACACCTTGTTTGGAATCCGCTTGCTGTCGGTGAGCTTCGCAACGATCTCCATGGAGGCGGCACGTGAAACAACGCTGGTCTTGAAATCGTCTATCTGACCGATGACCACATCGTCTAGATCATCACCATATGCACGAGCTTTCGCCTTGCACGTGCTCACCGCCTGCGCGTCGCCGCGAAACAACGACGCTGACACATGCCACCCGCTAATCGAAACTATGATTTCACAAGCTCACCCCTCTCACCGACAAAAACGATCTCGGGCCCCTGAGGGCCCATTCACCCAGCACCCTGGCCTATACCGTACTACATGGCACCATCGTGTGGGATGTTAACCGTGCCCGACTAGACTCCAGATCCTGGACCCCCGTCTGATTTGTCAAAGCGTCGTTGTCTCGCTGCGCCTGCAACAGCATGTCGATGCCATCGTAGAGCGGCTGGTAATCAATACCCTGGAGTTCGGCTCCAAGTGCAGAGATCTCGCCCCAGCTCGACTCGTCCTTCACGCGCGTGCACCACTTCTTGAATTGCACCATCCCGTCCGACACCTTCTCCGTAGAACAGCGAGCGTTCTCGATCTCCGCCTGCAACTTCCCCCACCTTGATCACTACGATGTCGGCCTTCACGCCCTTCGCCTGGTCGATGAACTTGGTGGCGTTCTCATGGAACTCAATGCCGGTCGCCTTCATGAGTGAATCGAGCTCCTCAGGAGTACACTGCGACGCAACGAACGTATCGTAATCCACAATAGACTTCTGGAATGCCTTCCAAAGTTTCTCAGTCTTGTCGCTGTCAACCGCCTCGGAGTAGTTTTCAGCATTGCCAATCAGCCTGACCCAAGTCTTGCGGACGTTGACCGTGTGCCTGATCACCGACATATTCGTAGAGATCCTCCCCTGGGCGTCCGCGTCGCAGAGAACCACCAGCATCTTGGCAACGGCTTCGATATCATCGAAGGCGTCAGGATTCACGCCCTGCACGGCAGTGTCAGTGACTAGCTTCTTCCAAACATCCACCGCCAAATTCTGAAGCGTCGCGCTGTCCTTGTTGACGTGCTGGTACAACTTGAGATCCGCTGCGAGCTTCGCGGGGTTGAAGTCCTCCTTGATGAACCCCTCAAAGGTGGCGGACAAGTCGTCGGACTGCAGCTTCACGCTGAACTCCCTGATGCGGTCGTCGATGGTCTTCAGCAGCGTGGCCAAGGAGTCGCTGGACTTGCAGATGTTGAATGCCTCCTCGGCGACGGACTTGAACGACTTCATCGAGCTAATGTACCTCGAGTCGTCTGTGCTCGCATCGCCGTCGAAGTCCCTCTTCATGAGCATGTCCGTCATCTTCATGCTAGTGGTAATGGCGCTCGCCTCCAGGTCCTCAACCGCTTCGCCCCCAAGTCGAGCAATGCATTGAGGCAGCCTGTTGGTCAACGCGAGCGCCTTGTTGGGCACGTCCTCGAGCGCCCTCGTGGCCGAGATGGACTCCCACGAAGCAATGTCCTTCGCGATCAAGGGCGCTACCTCCTTCAATGCCTTGATTGACTTCACAACGGTGGTGCGGAGCCTGTTCCAGTGCGGAGACTCCTGGATCGCAGCGCCCACCTGTGTCCAAACAGTGGTGCCACCCGTGGCGGTGGAGGCGCCCAGGCTCTGGATGTCGTCGCACACGTCGACTGCGGTGTTCTTGACGACCGTCTTGCAAGT